CTGCTCACAGGACCAATAAATGGAGACTGAATTATAATAATATAGGTAAATGGATGGCACGTGGAGAAGACAGCAGGGAGACAAGAGCCTGGGCATGCATCATAAACAGGTAAAATTGACATAATCAGGTCTCAGGATTGCTTTATTCATGAAATGTGTCTGAATCATTTGGTGATTTGAGGTGTGGGTGGCCAAATGTTCACCTCTCCTCTATGCTGGGTGTTATTATCCAGCCGGTTGAGCAGGAAGGTTTATTATTTGGCCCCTGGTGCAATTTGCTTTCTGAGTTCGCTGAATAAACAGGTTAGTGAAGCATCCTATGAAGAACCCTGCTGGTGGTCTTCGGAGAAGGAAGAGCTCTTTTCCAAGAAATGTTTGTTGTATTTGCAATATCTGATGAGAAGAGATTCTTTGAAATCCACTTGTCCCAAAGCCACAGGAAGCAGCCCCATCCTCCCTCCTGTGAATGGGAAGTAGGGAGTGTAACTCCATGAGCCAGTTTCTCCTAGTGAACTTCACCACTGAACACTTCCCGGTTGCTCGCCTCCCTGGTGTATCTCACTTCCCTGGTGTATCTCCTTTTAACAGGGATGGAAGTAGGGTAGGAATCTCAAGGAAGATGTTTGCTGTAAAGATAGCTGTTAAACTGAAGTCTGCCTGTCCATCTCCACTCCTACCCAAAGCCACATCTGTGTTAGGGATTCTACAAGGCCGATGGCCTGATCAATGTCATTGTAACAAGTTAGAAGTTTGCATATTCAGAACCAAGTCATCTTGGGCTATCTTTATCCCACCCCCACCCCTCCATCGGCCACTTATCATACACCTTTATGTCTGACCTTTAACTGACAGACAAAACTCTTAGAATATGTTAACAGAACACTAACTGTCACCTGAAAGCTGAGAATGTCCCCAGAGTACACTGGGACAGTGTAGCAGCCCGTCCTGCATTTCTGCAGCCAGCCCATCTGCAGGGTATTTGGTTCCTTAATTTATAACTTCCTTCACTTTTAAGGCTATAAAAGCTCATGCAGTTGCCTCCATGGTGGACCATGTTATTCAGAACCATCTGAAGCCATGTTCTCAGGCCACGACCACTCAGACTAAATGACTTTTTCTTCCCCCTGAGCTGAGAAGCTCTGGAATGTTGAATTTGTGGGCAGAGAAATGAAGAAACATGGTTGCCTTATGGGAAACCATCAGCCTTGTCACACCTTGAATGAACTCCCAGCTCTGTAGTCATTACATCTGTGACCCCAGACTCTCTCTGTATCACACTCTTGTACTGTCATAAGATGTACTAGCTTACAGAGACTTCTAAAGTAATGACAAGTGATGTGGTTTCTGAACTGTGACCCGGACCAGCATCACACAGGCGTTCATAATACAGGCAGATTGCAGCCCCATCACAGACCCAGAGAATTGGGATGTGGAGAGAAGGAGGCAGGAGGTGGCAGCCTGTCTTTAACAAGCCCTGTCAGTGGTTCTGATGCACAGAAGAAAGTGGGGACCACTGTCCCAGGCAGATGACAATCCCAGTAACTGCACTTGTTGCATCCAATCAGCAAAGAAGTGTATCGCTTATGAATTTACTTTTCTACTTCAAATAGCATTCACTTTATTCGGGTTTGAAAGTTCTTTGGCTTGGTAACTCCAGTGTGCAGAGTTGAATTAGAGATGTCCAGAACAATATATTAAAGGTTTGCTTGCTGATGTGACACTGTCTTAATAAACTGACCTGTCTATCAGTACAACTGAAAAAGATGCAGAGATCAAAAGTCACATTCTGGATGGGTGGTAACAAGCCCTGAAATGAATTGCAGGCTGAGTCACCTCTAGTGCTTCAGAAAAGTCCCAATCTAAGATTTGTGAATTGGGATCTGAGAGCAAGGGGCCTTAGAAGTTTATTTTCCAAGTATATGCAAAAGCATTCACATGTCTTGAATTCATGATAGCATGAAGAGTATCTGTGATATTTCATGGACTTGATAAAAATGTTTTAAAGTGATGCACATTTACAGTATCTCAATATGAACCACAGCCACGTATGTAAGACCAACCTGCACACGCTACACCACAGCCATGTATGTAAGACCAACCTACAAACTCTACACCATAGCCATGTATGTCAGTCCAACCTGCATGCACCATACCACAGCCATTATGTAAGGCCAACCTGCATGCACTACAGTGCTAAAGGGCTGTCACTGTTGCCTATGTTCTAAACTTTTGCCTTGTTGACCATGCTTGACTTTTCTATAAGAAAAAACAATATTGTTTCAAAAACGCAGAAAATAGCGATGTGCCATGAACTTATGGAGTGGGAATTTCATGTAACTAAAGCTAGAAAATGGTGATCCAGGGTCTGGAGAGGTGGTTCAGTGGCTAAAAGTGCTTGCTTTATAAGCATGAGAACCTGAGCTCAAATCCCGAGCACTCATGTAAAAGGCAGGGTATGGTCACATACTCCTGTAACCCAGGTAGTGAGAGCAGTTGGAGACAGAGGATCCCGGTTTGATTACTGCCAGCCTAGCCTAGCTCCAAGTTTAATGAAAGACCCTGTCTCAAAAGACTGAAGAAGAGAATGATAGAACTGGATATCTGATATCTACTTCTGTCCTCCGTGGGAGTGCACCCAAGGGCATGCATTGTAGTAGACTTTCTTGTTGAACTTTCTTTTCAGCTGCCAGCCCCCCAAAAGGACATGGAGACTTATTATTAATTATGAAAGCTAGGCCTTAGCTTAGGCTTTTTTCCCAACTAGCTCTTATAACTTAAATTGACCTGTTTTTATTAACCTACATTTTGCCACGTTACCTCTCCTATGTACTGTATGTCCAACTTCTTCAGTGTCTCCCTGCCATCTTCTGTGCACTTAGATGCCCGGAAGTCCCGCCTATTCTTTCCTGCCTAATTATTGGCCATTCAGCTCTTTATTAAATCAGTCACAGTGACATATCTTCATACAGTGTAAACAAATATTCCTCAACAGTGTATCTTCATACATATGTGTGCACCAATGGATGGACATGCATACAAATAAATAAATAAATGGAAAGAAAGAAGATACTGATAGAAGTCAATAGAAAATAGAAAATAACAAATAAATTAAGGGGGTGGATGAACAGGAAAGCAAAATACACCTGTGTCTCTAAAAGGATTTTACTTCAGGTGGTTTGTGGCATGGGGGCCAGTATAAATTCAGGGTTAATCTGGGAATGTGATTCTCCACTCCCATCCTTCAGCTTTGCCATGTTGACACAGAGACAGAGTTGGTCATCTGGTAGGCAATTCAGGTAACTGGGCAACTGTCACCCCAGTGTCCCCCGTGAGCACCAAGGACAGAAAAGAAAGAAACCAGAGTGATCAATATCGCACATAACACAGAAGTGATGGAGACCTTGTTCGAGGGCCACCTACCTCTCAGGAGTGAGGTTGGGGCAGGTGAATGACACAGCTGGCCTTCCACTTCCTATACAGTTTGTGCTGTCAGTTAGTAATAGGGAAAATGGCTCCCCACCCAAATGGTCTAGAATAACAAGTTGAATCCTAAATAACTTGAGCTGAAGAACTGACTGCCCTCCAAGCTAGGGAGGTGATATGCACCCGTCATCTTAGTACTTTGGGATTAGCAGCAGGAGAATCAGAGTTCAAGGCCAGCCTTGGCTATGTGATGAGTTCAAGGCCATCCAGGGTTACCAGAAACCCTGTTGAGAGAGGAGATGTGGAAGTGTAAGGTCAAAAAACTGCTTTTAGTGAATGTGCGCTTGCCATCCTCACCCTCAATGAGGATCTTCAGAAGCTACAGGGAGTGAAGCCAGGCCAGCAGCACCAACATGCCCAATACACGCTGGCTCTAAAAGGGCTCGGCTTGGGGCCCCATGTTCTGTAGTTGCCTCATTACTGTCTTCATAATTCGATCCTTGCATTAACATTTTTGTTAAATAAAGTCCAGAGGGACATCAGATCTTGGAGTATGTGGGGAGAGGGGACTTGCTCATGCACCCCCACAAGGTTATCAGCTTCCTGTTCCCTTTCAAAGAATACAGTTGTTTCACCAGGTAGAAAGCTTCCCGGACAAAGGTACACAGGGAGATCCAAAAACCAGTGCTCATAACCCATCCACCAGTGCCATGGGCAGGTATGGAGGGCCAGAGGAAAGCCTATATATACTCAGCTTTTGAACGCTCTTGTTGCCCAAATAGCATGACATTAAATCACAAATGAAAACACAATGAGAGATAGAGACAGAGAGGAAGAGAGAGAAGAGAAAGAGGAAGAGGGAAACCCTTTCCTGTTTTTGAAGGATGAACCATACAGGATCTTGTGTTCTGAACTCTGTAGATGAAGACCAGGTCCAAATGAGGATGCTTATAAAGGAGAAGGGAAGACCTCTGAGAAGAGATGATGGCCTTGTTGATTATGGCTGGTGTGTCTGAGAAGCTAATCCTTCTCCAAGGATGCACAAACACCCTACCCTGGATGATACTCAATAGCAGAGAGTGTGGTCAAAGCAGAAGCTTTTTCCTAGGAAAGACTCTAGTGCGTATAGACCATGACACAGATGTGCTTAACTCCACAAAGCACAAACTACTATCCCAAACACCCCTTTCAAACTCGTGTATGTGAGTCCAGAGCCAATCCAAGGAAGTTTTAGAGGCAGCAGAAACAAGTTCTTTTCCTTTTGCTCAGCAGTTTTCAACCTGTGGGGGCTCAACTCTTTTACTGGGGTTGCCTAATAACCATCAGAAATATCAGATGTTTACATTATGATTCATAATAGTAGAAATACTACAGTTATGAAGTAGCAATGGGAATATGTAACAATAACTCTTTCCACCAGCTGCCTGAGTTCCACCACCACACTAGGGCCCCAAAACAACACAGAGAGTCTTATATTAATTACAATACTGCTGGCCAATGACTAGGATTTCTCATTTGCTAGCTCTGTCCTAAGTATCAACCACAACCATTAATCTATATATTTTATAAAGACTTACCTTACCAAGGACGCTGGCACCTGTCCTCTCTTGCCAGGATCACATGGCAACTCCTGTCTTTACTACATTTCCCAGAATCCTCCTTCTGTCCTGGTCCCGCCTATCTTCCTTCTCTATTGGCCAACAATGTTTTATTTATTAACTAATAAGACAAACATATACACAGAAGGACCTCCCCCATCAGGAATAGTTTTATGTTTGGGGGTCACCACAACATGAGAAACTGTTTTAAAGGGTCACAGCATTAGAAAGGTTGAGAACCACCACTCTTGCTAAACAATGTTGCAGGAGAGATATGATATCAACCACAGTAGGTCAAGTTCACCTTTCTTTGCAGAAAGAATCTTTTGACCAACTTTCCTCTGTCCCCATTTTGAAAAGACTTCATTTCATTAACAGAAGAAATAGTTGTGCTCTTTAGAAAATGTTAGGTAGCACTTTGTTCGACAAAGACTTGGAAAGCACACACATCCTCCCCAAATTACAATGTGAATGATTATTAGTGCAAAGTATACTGCAGACATGTTTATAAAAATCAATTACATTTCACAACGATTTCTAAATTATCCCCACAGAATTAAAAACTGTTTTAGGATTTTAATGAATAAAAACTCATTTCATTGCTTCATAAAAATGAAAATAAAATCCATTAAGCTCCTGAGTCCCTCTGAGTGTTTTGGCGAGAGCCTGTAGGTGATTAGTCATGACTCAGCGTGGAAGAATCGCAATCATCTGTTGGAAAGGGCCCTTTCGAGACCTGCATATCAGCCATGCTCACATCAGATCTCACCGGCTTCTTGCCTTCCATTCAGGAGAGAATTAGTTCAGGATGCTCTGGTGTATTTGCACACACTCAAGAAAGCTGTGAAGCGTGTGCCCTCTGTTGCAGAGAGAGGGGTTGGGAAGAGCTTAAGACAGCTCTACTTCCTGTCAGTTGAGACATACCTCCATGCCTGGGCCTGCCTGAAAGACTGGTAGCCCAAGATTTGCAGGCAGTCCTGCCCACAGACCCAGAAAATGGTGCTGGGGCCTAAGTTCTGTGCTTTAGTCCTAGAGGAGAAACATCTTACAAGAATCCAAGAGGCCCCCTCACTTGGAAGCTTCTGGCTCATGCTTTGGGTGCCCAGAACTGTGAAGCTGTCAGTCTCAGTACCCCAGCCTGCGTACAAGTTCCTAGAACTCAAGTCGGCTATTCTTCCAGGCCAAGCTTGATTGCTGCTTGTTTTCCTAGGTTGAGGGGCCTCTAAAGCCTTCTGTGTCTTCTGTGATGTCTACAAACATAGGAATGTTCTTGAGAGTCTTTAAATTATAGGGCAATGCAGCTGTGTTTGTTTGTTTGTTTGTTTTTAAAAAGGACAGGCCATGAAGGGGGCCAAGTGGGGGTGCTCTTGCCCCTGTCTGTAAATATCAGAACTGGATTGATTGCTAGAAAATCCCATTCATAAGTAGCTGAATAGCCTCATAGGGAGAACACATTGTAAAGGAAGAAGTAGCATGGATGACAGGACAAGAGAGAACTTTGTAGCATCTGTCCTTTAAATTTATCACTCACCGAGTGGCAAGATGGCTCAACCAACCCCAACAACCTGAGTCTGATCACTAGCACCCATATGGGGAACAATTCTCTGAACCATCTGTACACACACACACACACACACACACACACACACACACACACACGTGTGGGGGGGAGGTAATAAAATTGTAATTAAAACATTTTTGAAGGCTGGGGGTATAATCTGTGGTAGAGTGTTTGTCTATGTGTGAGTGTATGAGGCCCTGGATTTGGTTGCCAGCACCAAAAATGTTTTCAGCACTGAGGAGGCAGAAGCAGAGGCAGGTAGATTTCTGTGAGTTCAAGACTAGCCAGGTCTATATAGCAGGTACTAAGACAGCAAGGACTACATAGTGAGAACCCCTCTTCTATGTATGAATGTGTGTGTGTGTGTGTGTGTGTGTGTGTGTGTGTGTGTATGTATCTATCTATATCTATCTATGAATCTATCTATCTATCTATCATCTATCTGTCTAATCATTCATTTAAAGTGGAGAGATGACTTAGCAGATAAGAGCACTGGTTCCTCTTGCAGAGGACCTGTGTTTGGTTCCTAGCACATGGCAACACAAGCATCTGCAACTCCAGTTCCAGGGGATCCGATGCCCTTCTCTATCCAGCTCCCCAGGGCACCAGACACACATGTGGTACACATACATATATGCAGACAAATACTCAAATTCATAAATAAAATCAATCTTTAAAAATGTGGTATCTATAATACTAAAACTTATTGAATGATGTTTTATTTGACATGGGAAATGTTCCCAGAATGACCTGAAGTTTCTTGGACTTTTACATATAATTCAACTTCATGGAAATAGCTCCTGGTGGGACATGAAACGCCCAGCCGTGTAACCATATAAGACAGCAGACTGAGGCAATGCCAAGGACTAAGAATGTATCTTTCTCTTTGTTCCTTTGAATGTTCACTGCTAATGTTCAAAGTGTCTGCAGAAGACCTGAGGATAGCTCTTGACTCCCTAGCCTGAGGACTCACCTTTTGGATCTAGGAGGTCATTGTTTGGGCTCAGTTGATAGCAGCTGAATTAGGAGATGGCACATTTCTGTCTTTTCTTAAGCTGAGAACAGGGTCATTCTGGGAGGCAGTGGGGTGCTGGCAGAGGCATGGAGAGCACTGGATTTCTGTGTGTCATTCAACCTGAAGTTGAGGAAAACCCAGAAATGAGACAGAAGGAGCTCCTACAGCAGGCTCCCTCCATAGCAATGTCCTCTGTAGACCCTGGGAATCTATGCACAGTGTCTTATTTTACTTCTGGGGTTTTGAGATAGGTTTTCACTCTAGAATCTAGACTGGCCTGGAATTCACTATGTAGCCCAGGATAGCCTCAAACTCTCAATTCTCCTGCTCAGTCTCCTAAGGCCCAGTATTATAGGTATTAACCAGTTCTGCCACATTGTTGTTTTTGTTTACTTTTTAGAGATAGGATATCATGTAGCTCAAGATGGCCTTGAAACCTTGATCATTCTGCCTCTACCCCCTGAAAAATATTAGAATCACACATGCAGCACCACTACTGATTATTTTTAGATTTATTTATTTTACTTTATGTGTAGTGTTTGCCTATATTTATGTCTGTGCAGTACATGTGTGTATGTTGCCCTCAGATGCTAGAAGAGGCTTTCGATATGCTAGAACAACAGTTTCAAGCTACCATGTGGGAGTCAAATCTAGGTCCTCTAAAAGAGCAGCAAGTGCTCCTAACTGCCGAGCCATCTCTCCAGCCCCTCTTCTACTGTTTCTTTAAAAAAAGAATTCACACGTGTAAAATTCACGGTTCAGAGGCATGCAAGTCTACAGATTAAGTATATACACAAAGTTGGGCAACCACAATTACTATGTATGATTCTAAAAAACGTATCATCTCATAAAGGAATCCTGTTATCTTCTAGCCTTCCCTGTCCATCCCCCATCTCCTCTCAGTCACTGGGGGCCATGCTTCTATTTTCTGTCTCTCACATTTATCACATTTGCCTATTTTCTGTCAGTGGCATCCCTCTGTGCTTTGCATGTTCAGCATTGCGATGGAAGTCAGCTTTTCATCCTTTATTATGATCCATGATGTTCCATTTGGGCGATACACTTAATTCGTGTCTAACCTCATCAGCTGGTGGATATTTGGATTGTTGCCATAGTACCGCTGTTATGAATATGCTACTATGAATATTCATATGGGGTTTTGTGGGAACATAGTTTTAATTATCCTGGTTATGTGCCTACCACTGAGATTTCTGGGTCATATTTATATCTTTCTGTGCTTCATTTTATTTTGGGACTTTGAAGCAGGGTCTCTTGCAGCTCAGCCTGGCTCTGAATTTACTGTGCAGATAAACCTACCACTTCTGTTCTGCTAACTGGACATGTCAAAATATTTTTGTTTATACTCATAGATTGGTGCTCTCCCTCAATTCATTTTGGTTTTTTTTTAGAGACAAGTTCTCTCTCTCTCTCTCTCTCTCTCTCTCTCTCTCTCTCTCCCTCTCTCTCTCTCTCTCCATTTTGTTTTTTTTTTTGAGACAAGGTTTCCCTGTTTAGCCCTGACTACCCTGGAACTAGCTCTGTAGAACAGGCTGGCCTTGAACTCAGAGATCTACTTCCCTCTGTCTCCAGAGTGCTAGGATTAAAGGTATGTGCCACCACCACCCAGCAGTTAGTGCTACTCTCAATTGCAGCCAGAGAAGCCTCTTTCTCACAGGGTAGCAGAGCCTCATCTTCTAGTTCAAGTGCTGAGAATAAGGGACTACTGAGTACTCATTTCCTAAATGACACGTTTATATCAGTCCTTTCTAGGCTTGGGGAGACATTGCCGAAGAAAGGATAGAAGAAAAAGAAAACAATCAATAAACCACAAGAGAAGGAGGCTGAGGAGAACTGTGAAACTCGTCTTCTGAACATGAGTGACAGTTGTCCTCACAGACTCACTGCAGCTACGGTTACCTTCACCAGACCTGCACAGGGTCAAGTTAGCAGGATGGGTCAACATTCTAGCAGGCAGCACTAACTGGTCTCTTGGAAGGTGAGGGAGAAGACATGAGAATGGGGGCAATCCAGGAGGAGCTGGAGATGTTGGGGCTGGGTATGGTTAAGACACATTGTAGAGATGTATGAAATCAAAGAATAAGTGAAAGATAACCTTTTTTTAAAAAAAAAAAAAAAGAGGATCCTTCAAAATTTCTGAATGCAGAAGACGAATAAAGAAATGAGCCTAGTGTGGCACTGCACACCTTTAACCCCAGTACTCGGTAAGCAGAGGCAGGAGGATTGCCATAAAGCCAGCCTGGTCTAACTGGCAAGTTCTGAGTCACCTAGAACCCTGTATCAAAAAGAAACCAAAAAAGTAAACAAGTAAATAAATAAATAAATAAGTGGGAAAACATAAACCACACACTGGTTTTAAAAAATGTATATTATATTTTTAACCATGGAAACACTTGACCTGATTATATATCAAGCAGTTGGAAGTAAAAGGTAAACAATGCTTACCATTTTAGCATTAGGTCATT